TATTCAGAACAAACACTCAGAAAGACCCTCCCTGACCTGATGGATATTCTGTTGATGGTTCTCACACTCTATGGCCTTGTATTCACATGTGATAGATGAAAGTTTCATTAAAGGGATTCACGTACTTACAGTATTCTGACTTAGAACTAATAGAAGTTTCCGTAGAAAAAGCAAACATTCTTAGCTATGGTATGGTAACAGACAAAAGGTTTGATAATAAGTAGTTTAAATAGCTAGAAATAAACTCAAATACGAAAAAGGTTAGTTTGGCAGCAAGGACTTCTGATCTCTCTTCTTGCGAAAGAGAATAACCACTTGTCAACACAAACAACAAGTTAGCCAAGCCCACAAAAGGCAGCAGTAGGATGTGGTCAAAACAAACCCATATGAATGAAGTCCTTTGATTGTACGGTATGGTCTCTGTTCACTTTTTACTGTAGAAGTCCATTCATATGTAAATTATGTCGTTCATTTGCATATATTCTTCTCAATTTATGCAGGGATTATGCTGAGATGAATACTAAAATAGACTGGTTTTGGATAAGCCTGTGGCAACATTTCTCTTGCTAAAAGTGAATCTGCATAATGACTTAAGGATAATAATTCAAGTTATGTGAATAAAGTCTCTAAATATAAAATATTTGCATATACATTTAGAAATATATGGGAAATTGTTAATAAAAGGGTTGGCTTTGGCGTCTTTGAGCATGTGACACATATTCCCTTTAGTGTGTTTATCTTTTTTGCCCATCCAGGGTGGCCTTCATCCAATAAAGAGGCCATTAGCCAAGTTGATCCAGAAAAGGGGCCTCAGCAGCCCGGCTGTCCCAGATTGAGATCCATCATTTAGGCAGACGCCTGTGCCTTTAGTCCTTCATCCAGCCAATCAGAGAATAAATAGCGGCCTGTATCAGATTACTCATGCTGACCAGCATCTCTCCTCCATCTCTGTTGATTCTGTCATGATACGAATGACTCAGCAGTAACCAAATCACAGTTTTCTTCAGTTCTGTGAGACCAGGATGTTACCCAAAGCATCCTTCTGAGCTATTGGGAAGTCTAATTATGCCAAGGGGCCAGAGCTACAAGCCAGCATTTAAAGCAAACAAACTTTTATTATTTAAATTAAAATAAATAAATATTCATATTTAAAAATGATTATAAAAAGTGTAATATTAGTATATTAAAAATAATAATACTTATTATATACAAATATTTATTAAAAAAAAAAAGTATATATATATTTTATATATTATTTTATGTTATAATATTTCTTATAATATTTTCAAATCTTTTCCCCCCACCTTCCTGTCCTCACACACTTTCCTAATCAACAAAAGTGGCTTGAGGCCAAAGGAATAAAAATAACAAATCTGAAACCTATTATGAAAATATATGTAAAAATGAAGAGACGTAATTGAATTTGTCATTAGTTTGTCTTGATTCAGCTAATTTTACCAGAATGTTAATAGCCTGAATTCGGGGACAACATCTGTTGGTTAATTAATTCAGTCATAAATCATGCATTATTGCCAGAGAAAATGTGTTGAACATGCAATGATTAGAATCGATGTTTGTGCTATGCAAATTTGTAATTTAGACAGACTATACATGACTGCACATCTCCACCATATGAGAGCACAGACATGAATCTAGACTTTGTCTTTGTTACATCTCATACTCTCGTTTTAAAAGGCACAGATGCCAGTGTCTACTATGTTTTTTTTCACAGATTCTTATGTTCGAGAATAGCTAAAGGTCAAGCTGATTGCATGGCAACAGGAATGTGATTGACAGTTTCCATTTAAGACAGTGTCACTGTCACTCTTCTCTATACTGCAATTGACTGGTTCAGGTTTTTCCAAAGGGCGCTTGAGCACATACTGTCACCATAGCAGCTCTCAGACATGCTGTGCACATTGTCTGAAATACTGAAATGTGGTAAATCTACTTGTCTTTACTTGGGTATTGAGGGAGTCTTGCCTTTTCTTCAGCCAGAAAATGTGTTAATAGGCCCTTGAATTTCTTTACTCACTTCTGTCATTATTTTGATTTTGATTGTTTTGTTTTGTTTTGTTCTGTTCTGTGTGTTGTTTTGTGTTTGTTTTGTTCTGCTTTGTTTTGTTTTTTGTTTTGTTTCGGGTCATGACCCACAACACTTGATCTTATTGAGTTAATTTTTATTTTCCTATCCATAAATTTTGACTAATGTGAGCTTTAATTTTTGAAACCATATTCTGCTTTTAATCCGTGTCCAAGCAACTGACCTCTACTGTAGATCGCTGCCTAAACTATATCTAGGAAACCAGTCCTGTGCATCACAGAGAAACATGATATAGATTCCAGATCGTGGTATAAGTGATACTCTTGATACATGTGATATCCAGAAGAACCAGTCGCTATCTTGAATGTTTGAATCCTTCACCTTGAGATAAATCTTTGGCTTTACAGACTCATGCTTTCTCTCTCTCTCTCTTTAGCTGTATGATGCCGTCAAGGTTTCTGAGCTCATGAATTATGCAAAGCAGAGCCCATTTCCCTGACACAGCCTGCTACACAGCAGAATCACTCAGATAGCACTCTCTATACCTACTGGCAGGAACAACCGATGCTAGTTCACTTCTCTGACACATTATATACTCCTCCTTCCTCACTGAAAACTTTACACAGCCTGATTCTGCTCATATTCTTGCTTTACTTGGGTATATATTGTAAAAACATTGCAGTCACTCATCCATCATAATCACGATGTGTTTTACAGTGGGTGTGATTCCTGTGTAAACATATTTATGCTACATGCCAAGGTTGGGAAACACACCTTTCATGTTATAGCTTCTAAAAGGAATCTCAATCAGTTGAAGTAATGCAAAAGTAGCACAGTATTGCAACGTTACATTTAGGACTGCCACTAACGACTTTTTATTTCGATTAATCTATCAACTAATTTATCGATTAATCTAAACTATTAATTTCCCACTAAGAAAAAATCAACAATTTTACTTAAGAATATTTGATTAAACTATATTTTATTAAACCAAATGGAATCCAAAAGTAAAAAAGTAAAGTGCAACAAAGTGCAAGAAGCAAGTGTCCATCTCGTAGTCCAAATCACTGAAATCAAAGTTGAGTATTATAGTGTAAGAATGACAACATATCCACGTGCTCTAGTCTACTAATAATAAAATTATAATCAAAAAACGGAGTTCTGGTAAAAGAGTATTTACCAGAAATATTATTTACCAGAATTTATTTAGGAGAAAAATGTAAATGTGCAGTATTTCTGGAAAAAAAATAAAACTTTTTTTTTTTTGTAATAAAATCAATTAATTGGAGATGCTTTTGATTATTAAAATTTAATGGAACCATTAAAATGGAATCCAGAAAATAATGGAAAACAAAATTTGGTAAAGATAAAACTGTAAAACTCAATTAATTAGACAGGCTTTTTGATTAATACAATTTAATTTAACCATTAAAACAGAGTATAGAAAAATGAAAATGGAAAAAAATGAATTTTTTGAAACAAAACGGATTTCATAGTGCCCTATAATTATAATAAAATTTTTTGTGATAATAAAAATATGTAAGTGAACAATAGCCTTTAAAATTACTTAAAATACATATATAATAGCAATGAGGCAATAATAATTAGTTCAAATAAAGTATCAAAAGCAAGAAATCATATGGTTTTATTGAACAAAACTGTTAAAATACATAATGTATTATAAACAATAGAGCTAATGTACATTACACATTACAACAAAGGCCTGCAGAGGGCGCCAACGGCCTGATGATTACTTTTACACATTGCTGTGCGATCTAATCCTTGTTTAATATTGACCAAGCATCATTTAATTCAAATGTCCACTTATATTTAGCCATTTCTTTAGGACAGAAATGCTACAGCCACTGTAATTAAAAGAATATGTGGACATCAAAACATGTAAACTCAGAGTGAGGGTTTGAGCTTTTATTTTGAAACCGCGATGTATTCTCCTGTGTTTGCGTAGATTTATAAATGATTTACCTTACAAATCTGATGAAATGGCGCACGTTGCGTTCCCAGATGAACGCTATAATAAACCCAAACTCGCAACAACATACAGAGATGGAGTTTGAGACGCTCCACACATGTAAATGATAACAGTTCCTGTGGAACTACTGTGAACGGAGCTGCCGTGTGACGCATGTACTTAACCTACACGCATGTAAATAATTAAAGCACATATACTGTATTAGAACTGCATCGCATATAATTATTTAATTAAATCGTAGCGTTTGTGAATTCACAATTATGTTTAATTATGTGAATAATTAACTATTTTAACTTAACTATTTTAAAATGGGTTTAATATATCATGCAGCCTTGGAAAACAGACTAAAAATGCGTTTTATACATTCTCGTCTGTGATATGCGCCACTTCCGGTATTTTGCCGGTTAGTCGAAGCGAGCAAAATTAAGTCGAGGATTTTTACAAATAGAATTGTCGAATAAAATCGACGAATCGCGACAGCCCTAGTTACATTCTCCAATGCTGATTATTTAATTTAATTTTTTATTTTATGAAGAGCATTGCATTTTTAAAATCACATAATGTTTTAACCCATCTGAAAAGATGTGCTTCATTAATTTCCATTCAGTGCATGCATAAAGCTGAGCAATAAAACAAAAGGCTTTCTGGAGCAAGAAAGGCGTGGTTTTTTGTGTGTGTTTTTTTTGGATCTTAACCCACCTCTTAGGAGCTAGACAGCAGGCTGTGTAATTTTGTGCTTCAGCCATGTGTATTGACATCCATATGTCAGTGCTGAGGGTGCTGCCATCACAGCATTCCCGTCTCTTCCAGCTGAGTGCCCTCACATGTCTCTGAGTATGTTAGGATGATCTGAGGCCATGCGAACTGTCTGTCTCCACCACGGATTCCCTAATAAAGATCTTGCCATCTATTTGTGCTTTTACTAGCATAAAAGGTCATTGTTGTTCTATTTGTTTTCTCTTTCAGTCTTGCTGGTTAATCGTAGATGCCCCTGTATGTTTGAATGATCACATTGAGTGTGAATCACAAGGCCCAGTTGCTTTGACCTGGAGCGGAAGGATTTTCATGTAACACACCCTGCCATGGACATGAAGAGGAGTTGCACGCTCTGTGGAGGAGCTGTGATGCTGCTGCTGCTGCTGCTGGGTCACATGACCACTGCATTAGAAGTGCCTCTAGACCGTGAGTATTGCACAGTGAAAGAAAATTAAATCTGATGTGATGTCATAAATCCCACTAATGTAGATATAATTTGACAGAAGTGCACAAAAAATCTAGTTTTCTACCTAACCTATTTTAAAATGAGAAAGTGATTCACATGTGATTCTGAAGACATTTTTAGACAAGATTAGAAATCAAATTAAAGATTCTCAGAATTTCATAATTCAATTATTAAAATGGAAATGAAGTAGAGTATGTTACTGTGAGTCCTCGCAGTGCGTTTCTCTTTTCTCAGCTTCTGCTGCTCTCTAGAGAAGTGTTTCACATTTACATACTGACAGTGTGTTAAGTCAGCATTACTACTGTGTAAGCAGAATATATATGGACTTTTAGGAGCATTGGTCACCCTTTTGCTTTCTCTTTCCATCTTTCTATTTCTATCACTCGCTCTTTGGCTGTGATAATCAACTTTATAATATATTTTATATAATTGTATATATTATAATTTATATAAAATTATATTATATAAATGTAATAGAATATATAATACTAATACTGTTAATACTGTTATTTAGCAATAACGCATGAAGTTGTTCAAATTTGTTGTTCAAATAAATGCTGTTCTTTTAAAATGCATATTCATCAATATATATTATATTTCAAAATATATAATTAATTCAAATAATCCTTAAAAAATGATCACGGTTTCCAGAAATAAATGAAGCAGCAGAATATCAACATTGATAATAAGACATGTTTCTTGAGCACCAAATCAGAATATTAGAATGATTTCCGAATGATCATGTGAAACTGAAGACTGGTGTAATGATGGTAAAAATTCAGCTTTGCCATCACAGGAATTTCATACATTTTAACATGTATATAAAAAATAGAAAATAGTTATTTTAACTGTAATAATATTTTAAAATACTACTATTTTTACTGTATTTTTGATCAAATAAATGCAGCCTTGGTGAGCACAAGAGACGTCTTTCAAAAACATTCAAAAATCTTACTGACTCTAAACAAAAAAAGGGGGGGGGGGGCAGCGTGGAAAGGAAAAGCACTTAAGACCACCAGAAGGAATGATTATTCATGTTTAAACACATGGGTAAAGAATGAAGCACATTTTTAGTATAAAGTAGTGCCAAGATTCAACTCCATCTTATTGTACAATCCAGAATTTTGAAATCTTCTATAGTCTATAATGTCTATAATGCATGAAGCACCATTGTCAGGGTGGTCAAATCAATGTATCATTGACAAACAATCAGCATCATCAGAACTTCATTAGGAGAATGAAATGGCATGAGAGTTGCATGATGGGTAATGAATGCCCAACACACCTCCGGAAGTTTCACTGAGGGAACCTGCTTTTGTTTGATCTTCTCTCTTCTTCTCTTACACTAATTTGAACTCTTTTACTCTCTGTATTTCCTGATTCATTTGGACAAAAAAGCTAAAGTTCTGGAGGGATGTAAGTCTTGGCACTTTTGCTGTGAAATTTGTTATGAATTAGGTCTACTTTAACTTGTGTCTTTTGCTTTCTTCATTTTGAAGTGTTTATGGGTTTGATATGAATATTAACATATTTTATCCTTTATTTAACATGAATCACCCAAATATAAAGCTATATGTAAATTATAGCAATGATCTGTCATGCCAACAAGAACTTCCATGACAGTTTGTGTGCATGCTGCATGCTCTTTGGTTGTTTGTCTCTCTGGGTTTGGTTACACTGATAAACTAAAGCTGGGCAATTTTATAATTGTAGATATTTTCTTGCAGAATCAGTTTCTGCAAAGGTGGTGCATCTGTGCTGGTTTGTGCCAAGGTGTGTGTGTGTGTGTGTGTGTGGGAAATAGAGATGCTTGTCTTTACGCTGGTTTCTGTGCTTCAGTGCCTCAGCCTCCCACAATAATGCATCAGTCCCTCAAGGATTACATCATCGACCCTCGGGAGAACATCGTTATCCACTGCGAGGCGAAAGGAAAGCCTCATCCCAGGTGGGTGTCACTTTGAATCACCATGGTTACCGCTACTGCAGATTCCACTGATGTGGACGGATGCTTGGCGCTTAACACCTACCAAAGTCTTCCTGAAAATTTGCTGAAAATGTACTCACCCTCTGTCTATCCATGATGTAGGTGAGTTTGTTTCTTCATTGAAACAGGTTTGTAGAAGTTTAGCATTTTATCACTTGCTCATCAATGCATCCTCTGCAGTGAATGGGTGCCGTCAGAATGAGACAGCTGATAAAAACTTCACAATAATCCACAAGTAATCCACACGACTCCAGTCCATCAGTTAATGTCTTGTGACACGAAATCTGTAATAAACAAGTCCACCATGAAGAAGTTTTTAACTTCAAACCTTAAAATACGAGTTCTCTATCCATAATATTGCTTTCTCCAGTGAAAAAGTCATTTCATCTGAATCAGGAGAGAAATATGCACAGATTAAGCACCGTTTACAAGCGAAAACAGTCCAAAACAGCTCTAAACAAATATGTTGGTGGATTTTGATGTGAGAGGACGACAGGGGATGCACTTTTTCACCAGAGGAAGCATTATTATGGATTATGGGTTCATATTTTGCACATAAGGAAAGGTTTATTAAGTTGAAATGCCTTGATGTATTTATTTCTTACAAACATGCTGCTTTTCACTTCACAAGACATTAATTCAACAACTGGAGTCATGTGAATTGCTTACAGATTATTGTGATGTTTTTATAAGATGTAATGTGAAATTTGTGTAATGATTTGATTAATGCAAAATTCCTTCAAATATGTAGTAAGAGACTCATTTACATCTTGGATGCCCTGAGAGTCAGTAAATTTCTGCACATTTTAATTTTTGGGTCATAAAAAACATCCTAAAATTATAGCATAAAGTGACTTGTGTACAATGATGTAAGTCTTTTGAAATCATACAACAGCATTATGTAAAGAACAGACTGTAATTTAACTTGTTTAAGATATAACAGCATTAATTTTGGACTGTTTCTCACACAACAACACTATTGTAAGGCTTCAGATAACTAGAAATATAGCACAAAAGTCATATGGACCACTTTTGTGATGCTTTATTTGTCCTTTATTTTGGAGTTTTTCCAATGTAAATCAACAGTTTCTTGTATGGAAAAGAGCAGCTTGAACATTCTGCCAAATTTCTCCTTTCACGTTTCTCGTTAAAAAGATCTGAATGACTTACAAGGGTGGGTAGATATTCAAAAAGTTAAGGAATTAACTTTATTGACAAGTGATGATTGATTAGTGTTGTTGTAAATGAAAAAAAAAATCGATTGTAATGTCACTGTGCATGCATGTTGTCGTAATTGATTTTCTATTTTCACTCTTCTCAATCTAGCTTTTCATGGACACGTAATGGCACTCATTTCGATGTGGAAAAGGATTCCAAAGTTGTCATGAAGCCCAACTCAGGCACTCTTGTCATTGACATCAGCGGAGAGAAGGCAGAGGCGTATGAGGGTGTTTACCAGTGCATCGCCCGCAATGAGCACGGCTCTGCCATGTCCAATAACATTGTCATCCGTCAGTCAAGTAAGACAGACACATCTAATTAGAATAAATTGCCACATGACTGTTTTGTTAATGTTTTTGGAGTCACCTCCTGTCAGTTTTTTTATTTTTTATTATTGAGGGCCCAATTCTGTTTCATAGGGTCCCCCTTGTGGTCAAAGGAGAAAATTGAACCAATCACGGTGCAGAGGGGAATGTCTCTAGTGCTGCAGTGCAGACCCCCGGCTGGCCTGCCTCCTCCAATCATCTTCTGGATGGATAACAGTAAGATATATCACATATATCCACATAGATTTGTGACAGTAACACACCACACATGTCAGTCTTGCACATTCTAGTGTAAGCACCCACTGAATGTCTGATTTGGTTATGTTTTCATATACTTTACATGGCAACCCAAGTATGTAAAAGTCCCTGCTCTGTTTAGCAGGTTTAGCTTATTGTTATTTTATGGTCCTTCTTTTATTGGCAAATAGTGTTCACAATGAACTTATACTGTATGCTTACTACTAAGCATACTACTCGAGTAAAGGCCAAAAATCAACTAAAAAACACATACTCTGTTTTGTCTCAGATTTCCAGAGACTTCCCCAAAACAGTCGTGTATCCCAGGCTTTAAACGGAGACCTGTATTTCTGCAATGTGCTCATGGAAGACACCAGAAACGACTACATCTGCTACGCCCGCTTCCCACACACTCAAACTATCCAACAGAAACAGCCCATCAATGTCAATGTGCTGGACAGTAAGTGTTTTTAGTCTGCTGATACAAATAGAGTCACCAATTTCTGTTCCAAACAAGCATCTGTGTAAATCAGTTTTTTAAATAGATTTTAAATGGAATAGGACTCTGCCTTTTTATGTTGAATTAAGCTTGCACAATATATACAGATTCATATTTTTATATGTTATTATTAGGGCTGTCAATCTATGAAAAAAAGTTTGAAGTTTAATTATATAATAAGTTTATTAATTTATTAAATTAATACACAAAGAATTGCATATATCTGTATTTGCCCCAAGAAAAGCCCCACATTTCTTGATAAGACATTAAATATTGTGTGAAGCAGTGAAAAATTCCTTATTGCAGAATTTATGCGTACATTTTTAATTATTTTTTTTTAGTTTGTTTTAATGTATTTTTATTTAATTCCCCCCCTTTTTATAAATAAAAAATACAATAATTTGGTACAGTAATTTTAAAAAAATAATTGTACTGAATAAACACTTTGACAGCCATAGCGAGTATTAAAGTGACAGTGTCACATTGTCCCTTTTATTTTTAAATGCCTTTTCAGTTTTTTCCTGCTCTGTCTAGACCTGTAAATGTCAAAGCATTGCATGCTGATTATTTTCTGTTGTATTCCAGTTGAAGCTATGAATGACACTGTGTTGGCAGCTTTTTTGAATGGCTCAGATTTTTGGGGTGGTGAGTGCTAGCAGAACTTCTCCAAGTGAACCCAGCCTTCATCCCTCCCATCACTTGTGTTTCCGCCTAACCAGGAATAGCTCATTACCTAATATATCACCTATAACCAGAAATATAACCCACTTCTCTAGAATACCAACCCTGACCTCAAACAACTTCATCTTTATGAAGGTCTCATGCTTTACTGCACTTGGTATTAATATCCATTTAATTGCATCTTTCAAAAACATTCAAAAATCTTACTGACTCCAAACAAAAAAAGGGGGGGGGAAGCGTGTAAAGGAAAAGCACTTAAGACCACCAGAAGGAATGATTATTCATGTTTAAACACATGGGTAAAGAATGAAGCACATTTTTAGGATAAAGTAGTGCCAATATTCAACTCCATCTTATTGTACAATCCAGAATTTTGAAATCTTCTATAGTCTATAATGTCTATAATGCATGAAGCACCATTGTCAGGGTGGTCAAATCAATGTATCATTGACAAACAATCAGCATCATCAGAACTTCATTAGGAGAATGAAATGGCATGAGAGTTGCATGATGGGTAATGAATGCCCAACACACCTCCGGAAGTTTCACTGAGGGAACCTGCTTTTGTTTGATCTTCTCTCTTCTTCTCTTACACTAATTTGAACTCTTTTACTCTCTGCTTATGTATTTCCTGATTCATTTGGACAAAAAAGCATTGTGTAACAAAATATCCAAGATTACTGTATATGAATGGTAATCAGTCCTTTTTCATTGTTTTAATTGTCTAATTAACATTTCGGCAGTGTCTACACATCTACTGGTTACTAAACTTTCTCCTTTCCCTGTTTTAAGCTGAATACATCAATTAGTGTTGCATATTACATTCTGTATGCAACACTGTATAAGGTACTATAAAATATCTCACTAAAACATTGTTCATTTCTACTATATTTTTCATTTGGATCCTTCCATTCTCTTTTAAATGCCATCCAAAAGAAGCAATGGAAGGATAAAATTATTGTCATTCAATATGAGGTTCACTTGATAAAAGACATAAGGGCAATTTTTTAGACGTCCCTATAAGTTTTCCATTTATAGTGTCAAATTTGACCAGCAATATGCTGTTTGTACACCTCTAGTTTTATCTACCTCGTTCGTGTGTGGTTTTGCGCACCAAAACAGGATCTTTTCCCCCTCTCATAAGTCCTGGGCAATAGCTGGCTGGTTATAAAATATGTCTGATTGTGGCCTATCTATGTTCTAGACAGTCCATCTGGGGAGAGAGCGCCCACTTTCATGAACCCACCAGGAACGCACAGTACCACCATGGTTCTGAAAGGAGACACGTTGCAGCTGGAGTGCATCGCTGATGGCCTGTAAGTAGGAGGAAGTGGAAAAATGGCTTTCTCTTGGGTCAAAGAATGGCTAATGTGCATCTTACTGTGCTGTTTGGGGTTTTTTGTAACCATGTCCGTTTCTTCTTGTGATTGGGGTCAGATTGCATCAATAGATTTGCATAAACAGTTCAAAAGTGTTTGACTTTATTGTGTTTTTCAGTCCAACGCCAGATATCTCCTGGAGCAAGGTGAACGGGGACCTGCCAAGCGGCCGTTTTTCATTTCACAGTTTCCAGAAAACTCTGAAGATAACGGAGGTGACAGAAGCGGATGGGGGAGATTACCGCTGTTTAGCCAAGAATCGCCTGGGGAGCAACCATCACATCATCACTGTAGTGGTCAGAGGTCTGTCACAGGACGTCTTTTCATCTGTCACATCTCAAAAATCTTGTTTAGTCACATCATTCACTGACCCCGGGATGCCATCCTGATCTGTTCATGGACTTGAGCTGATCTGAAAGACCCTTTGTGTTTCCTGTTACTCAGAAAATACTGGCTGGTTTGCCAGATATCTTAAAATATATGATGAAATAATTCTAATCTGTTGCATAGGAAGCAGTCTAAATTCAAATTTTCAAATTTTAAATTCCAATTTGTCTGTTTGATTTGAAAACTTTCCTTTTATCTCCACAGCGGCTCCCTTTTGGATCAGTGCCCCTCAGAACCTCATCCTGGCCCCGAAAGAATCTGGAATGCTCACCTGCCAGGCAGAAGGCAACCCTAAACCCACGGTCACATGGTCTGTCAACGGAATTCCCATTGAAAGTATGTAAAGCCCACTCACTTTTATCTATAACCACTTTCCATGAACTTTATGTAGCTTTTCCAGTATCTAGCTACTATTTTCAACAAATATTTTTATATTGATATATAGGAAGTTCTGATTTATTGTTAATCAGTTTGTTTGTACAGTGCCTGTAAATAAAATGATTCTATAAAACGATTCAATAATCCTATGTTTGTTTTTATACCATAATATTTATTTAAATGTTGCTTATCACTTGCATAAACTGTTTTTATTTATTTGCCTATTTTTTGTTGTTGTATTGTTTCTGTTTAAGTTTATGCTTTCACTCTAATTAATTTTATTGTTTTTGTGCCAGTGGGAAATATTAAATATATGAACATATGAAATATATGAACTGCTCTGATTAAATTATAAATGATATCATCTGATATATTTAAAATAATGTAGTTTGCTCATTTTTGTTAGAAGCTTGTAGCACATCTAATTACTTTTTCAGAAGAATGGTTTGATTATAGTTTAATTATGAGTATAATTATGATGTGATTCCTTGATAGACTCACATAAGGACCCCAGTCGGAAAATCGAAAATGGCAATATCATCCTCAGTGATGTTCAGACCGGCTCAAGCTCTGTTTACCAGTGCAACGCCTCCAATGAGTACGGTTACCTGCTGGCCAATGCCTTTGTCAGTGTCTTGGGTATGTTAGTGTATATGCATTTCTATTCTATTCTATTCTATTCTATTCTATTCTATTCTATATTTTTCAGTTATGTATGGTAAATTACATATATTACATTACATTTCAGCTGAACCTCCAAGGGTGCTGACTCCTCCAAATCATGTGTACTCAGTCGTCACTAACAGTAGGGCTCTGTTAGACTGTGCTTCGTTTGGCTCGCCACTTCCAAAGATCACATGGTGAGATATTATTTTATTTTTTATTTGTTTCATTCTTTTTAAGTTTGCCTCTAATATCCAAACGTGTTTACTGTGAGTTTATGTTGCATGGTGATTTTGCTTCTGTTATCTGCAGGTTTAAAGACAGTCAGAGCATAGTGGATGGCGACTCGTACATCATTCATAAAAACAATACCTTAGAGATCAATGTGGCTCGGCCACTAAACAGTGGCAAATACACCTGCATTGCCTCAAACAGTCTTGGAAACAAAGAAAATCATGTTTACCTGGAAGTGAAAGGTGAGTGAAAACTTAATTTAATTTGTTTTGGTTAAATCTGTGTATTTGTAATATGCTAAGTGAATGAATAGTAGTAGTAGTAGTAGTATGATGGGAAATATGGGGGAAATGAGCAAGATTTATGTTGTTTTCTTTCCGCAGAGGCTACACGGATCATCAGACAGCCTGGGTATAAAGTGGTCCAGAGAAACAGCATGGCTGTGTTTGAGTGTAAAGTCAAACATGACCCCTCTCTCTTTCCCTCCATGATATGGCTCAAAGACAATATGGAGCTTCCCGACGACACTCGGTATGACCTGCAACCACTGCGGCAATTTTTGTTCAAATATAAGCCCCATCTGAAGCAGGGGTTAGCACCTGAGGCACTGCGCTTGATACAAGCGAGGGAGATTGTTTAATGTTTTATTTTGTTTATTTTAGAATTAAATTAAAAAATTAAATAAAATAATAAAATAAAATAATTTGCAGATGGAGCAGTTGGGTATTTTTTTTTTATTGGCATTTTTTCTATTTGAAAAGAAATACACTACTGTAAGTGGTTTGGGGTCAGTAAGATTTTTTTCCTTTAAAAAGAAAAGAATGTAATACTTTAATTCAGCAAGGAAACATTAAATATATCAAAAATGTCAGTAAAGATTTTTGTGTTGTTACAAAAGATTTATATTTCAAATAAATGCTGTTCCTTTTTATTTATCAAAGAATCCTGAAAACAAATGTATCAGTTTCCACAAAAAAATTAAAAATAAATAAATTATATAGCAAAAATATAGCAGTACGACTGTTTTCAATGTTGATAGTAGTAGTAGTAGTAGTAGTAGTAATAATAATAATAATAATAATAATAAAACGTTTCCTGAGCACCAAATCAGTAATGATATGTGACAAAATATGACACTGAAGACTGAAGTAATGGCTTCCATCACAGGAATAAATTAAAATGGTTATTTTAAATTAAAATATTTAACAATATTATTTTTTTACTGTATTTTTTTTTTTTTATATAAATGAAGCCTTGGTGAGCATAAAAGAGTAATTTAAAAAAATACTTACCAACCCCAAACTTTTGAACGGTAGAGTACTGTATATACAGAATACAAGAGAAACATTTAGAAAAATAAAATAAAAATCCATTCACAAAAAAGCACTTTTGATCTAAATGTTAACTTGTGAAGTTTGAGAAAAGTAAAAATGACGAAGTCTCAGTTTATTTGCTCTGAAAGGTGGCCTGACTAGCAGGTGTGTGTTTGTGTGTGTAGATTTGAGGTGGGCTCTGACAGTCTGACTATACATGACGTGAGAGAGGACGATGAGGGCAACTACACCTGCATCAGAAACACCACCCTTGACCAAGATTCAGCCAACGCCATACTCACAGTAGTCGGTACGCTCAGTTTATACATCACTCTTAACACTCTCACCTGCTTCAGGCAGTCATTTTCTCAGAAACTGTACATTATACAATATGGCTTCCTAGATTTTTATATGGGTGCTGTTGTACAGTTGAATATATACTTTTTGTATAATTAACTTTTGACTTCCTCAAACCTGCTTTCCTTGTCAGAGGCCACACCAACACCACCTATAATAATGGGTAAAATGCACTTCTTTCAGTTCCCAAACAGGTCCCAAAACCATTTGATGCATTTGTATTTTTGCTTTTTTTGTTTATCCCTCATCACCTTCCTGATATGTGCTTATGAATGTGCTTTGTGGATGTTTCCCATTGATACATAAACTGTTAAAGGCAATTTTGGTTTTTAGTTTTCGCAAATGAGGCAGCTCACTTTTCCTGACCTCGTTTGGAAATAAAGACCTGTGTGGTTTCAGCTTTACCAACAGACTCTCATGGCAATTTGTGACTAATTTACATTTTGATGAGTTAGCAGCAAATTCGTACAATCTCATGTCTATGTATTCATCTGCTTACACCCCACTGAGTTTAGTTTAGTGGTTCACCTTGATGCTTATATTTTCTACAAATTTTGTGTTTTTGTACGACTCAAATCGTACAAATTCATACGAATTTGCCACGAATTCTCTAAAATGTAAACTAAATACGTTTTCTCATGAGATTGGTTTGACACTTTAAAATCGTGCCTTTAACAGAATGTCACATTTCAGTCTGTGACATTTTTTTTTAAGTTGGTGGTATATTCTTTTTTTTTTTATTTGGGCTTGTGTTGCATGTTTCTAATGTCTGGTTTAATTGAGCTGGATGGAGTTTTGTGTCTCATAAAATCTGGTTTTCTAGAGCAACCAGACCCGCCCACAGACCTGGAGCTGACAGACCAACGAGAGCGCAGTGTTCAGCTTACATGGACCCCTGGTGATGAAAACAATAGTCCTATTCAATGTGAGTTCTTTGTTTGTTACCTTGTGGTAGATCAATTGGTGATCCACGTAATAGGTCAACAGAAACATTTAGGTCTGCTTTTCTGATCCATTTATATTGGTTGCCTCAGTGTTCCTGATCCAATATGAAGATTCGCTCCACGAGCCTGGAGTATGGGTCAATATGACTGAAGTCTCAGTAACCAGCACCACAGCACACCTGGAGCTTTCCCCGTATGTGTATTACTCCTTCAGGGTCCTGGCACTCAATGACGTGGGACTGAGTGAACCCAGCGCTCCATCCAGACAGTACAGAACCAACCCTGCACGTGAGTTACCCTAGCATGAAAATAGAATCTTTAAACGTCCTTGTATTTTTATGAATCAAAGTTTGATTGTGATTCTCACAGGGCCTGACGGGAATCCATCAGACGTTGAAGTCATTGGAACGTCACCTGACAGTATGACAATAACTTGGAGGGTAAAACACTTATGATTTGATTTTATTCAATAGAGTACAATCCAAAAAATAAAGGTTACAAAAGGGGGGTTTCACAGCAATGTTATTGAAGAACCATTTTAGGTTCCTTAGATAACCTTTCAGTGATCAGTACTTAATCAGTTCAGTTTTTTTAGGGTGAATAAGATTTTTTTTCTACTAAAGAAAACCTTTGTGCATTGGAAAGGTTCCATGGATGTTCTTCCGAGGAACCATAGATCCCAATAACAAACCTTTATTTTTAATGCTATACCTACTAATTTAGCTGAGTTCCTAGTTCCTAGTTTACGTGGATTCCTTTTAATGTCTGGTGACCAGGAGCTGACTGGGCTGGAGTTGAACGGTCCAGGCCTACAGTACAAGGTGAGCTGGAGACAGAAAGATCTGGATCAGCAATGGACTTCACTCACTCTGGCCAATGTCTCGCAATATGTGGTGACAGGAACGCCCACTTTTGCACCCTATGAAGTCACCGTGCAAGCGGTCAATGACTACGGTTCTGGTCCCAGACCAGAAGTGGTGCTGGGATACTCAGGAGAAGACTGTGAGTAAGCTTCAGAAAGCACCCAAATATATTTATTAGTGCTATGAAATGATTAATCGTGATTAATTTTTGTTTACATAATATATGTGTGTGTGCTGTGTATATTTGTATATATAAATACACACACATGCATGCATATATTTAAGAAAAAAGGTTATGTTCATATATTAAATATATGTATATATAATATTAATTATATGAATGTAAATGTAAATATTTTCAAAATATATACTGTATGTGTGTTTTTTATATATGCATTATAAATATAGACAGTACACGCATATTATGTAAACAAAAACTTTTATTTTGGATGCGATTAATCGCGATTAATCGTTAGACAGCACTAATATTTGTATCAAGATTATTTTAATATAATATATTATTTCACATAGCTTTATATTTATATTAATGCAAATTTAAATATTATTTTACATCATTTTATTCATTGTCAATATATTATATTATATTATATTATATTATATTATATTATATTATATTATATTATATTATATTATATTATATTATATTATATTGGCTCATCCTCCCTCACCACCCTTGATGGGGGTCCAGCGCGGGGGTACGCGGGAGTTCCCCAGGTGGAGCGGTCGATTGCGATGCAATTGTGTCCAAATGCCGCTACCACTTGGCCGTTGCTCCCCTTCCGGGCCTGTAGGCACTCGTCGGCCTTGATCGGCAGTGTTTATACGGCCTGTGGAGAAGCTGCGTCCGCCTTACACGCTTCGGCGTTACTGCAAGTGCACTAGGCCAAGGCACTGAGGGACTTGCTATTATATTATATTATATTATATTATATTATATTATATTATGCTGATTGGGGCCAAAATCTAAACAGGCGTCACATGTACACATGTATACACTGAAAATGTTCATCCGAGATGGTGGACAGATTCCTAGAAATATGGAATATAGTTCCATTACAAATTGTAATAAAAAAAAAATGTTTTGTATGTCTTTGTCATCTTAGTACCAAATGTGGCCCCAGAGAACGTAAAAGTTTCGGTTCAGAATGGGACAGTGGCCGAAGTGCGCTGGGACGCTGTCCCTCTTTCAACAGTACGAGGGCAACTGAATGGATATAAGGTACTTACTTAACACAGAAAATACATTTACATCTCTAATATTATTCACCTATTACGGAGATCTACCTAAAGATGTTGACATTTGAGCTGCAAACAGTCTAAGATGTTGCCATTTTGTAGGTGAGTTACTGGAAAATGAGAAGCCTGCACAAGCAAGACCCTGAGCCCGTGAAACCACAGGAGCTCATCTTTCACGGGAGTGAGCCGGAGGGTCTTCTGATCGGCCTTCATCCCTACAGCCAGTACACCCTCAACATTAGAGCCTTCAACAGGAAAGGAGACGGACCCACCAGCTCCAATCACATATTTGAAACACCAGAGGGAGGTAGAGTGTGTACTTACTATATGTACTCACTTGTCAAAGTATGAAGAATTATTTAAAGGAAAATAATCTATATACATTTTTTTAGTTCCTGGGCCTCCTGCAGATTTAAAAATCCAAAATCTGAACCTGGACTCATTGATTGTGAAGTGGGTGCCACCTGTAGAATATAACGGTCACTTGACAGGATACTTGCTCAAATACCAGCCTAGTAAGTCTGAATTGGGTCATGTTTTATGGGATTTTGTTGTTGATTTATACAAAGATGCCGATCGCTTACACTTTTCATCCTCTCTGTAAACTCTCCTCTCTCTCCTTGCAGTCAATAAAACAGATGAACTTGGGCCGCTCAAAGAGCTGCTTCTACCAGCAAACGAGACCAACATCACTCTGGAAAACCTCAAGCACAGCACTCACTACAAGTTCTATTTGAACGCCATGACTATCAAGGGCTCTGGCCCCATTGTCACAAAAGAGGGCTTCACAATGGTGGACGAAGGTGAGGACTAGCTTTGTGAATGATTTTACAATATAACATTTTCAGGATTTGAGGCAAGCATCCAGGTGCAGTATTCTATCCTCAACGGTGGCTTCACATAAATTGCAAGCAATATAAAACTTGAACAAAGATTTGTGTTTCAATCCTCAAATTCCTGAATCGGAGTGTTCTACAATATAATGCTTTTAATTCATTAAGGGTTGCATACTCTATGAATAGATTTAACACATACATAACATGCCATTTGTTCGTGTGTTTATTTATATTTGACTTATTTTTACATTTTTATTAATATTTTATTATTTAAAAAATAGATTTAACACAAATTTAACAGTTTGTCACTATGTCATATTCTTAATCAGTTTTTTTATCTTATTTGAAGCACACAACTTCACAAAATGTTGTATAAATTTTTTGGAAACAGTGTAGTTAGAAAAAAATGAACTTAATTATTTTTAATTCTAATGTTTTATGCAATTTTGCTTCTCAATTAAATAGATGCTGTTCCCTTTCAGTCGGTCACTCTCGACGTTGACGTCTCCGTTCCCTCCTTCAGGGAACGAGGGTTACCATACGTAACCGAGACGTTTTAGAGATATATTACAATTCTGTTGGAAAACAAGACAATAATGTTTAAGAAAATGTATTAATTTATTAATTGATTGATTGATTTTTACAATTATACATTGATTTTTTGTTTTGTTTTGCCTTCTTCATTCTGTCTGTGTAAGTAATAAGGATGTTCTGGCCTTTTAATTTTCATGATTAAACATTTTTTTTTTGTATGTATGTGCCTTCCAACAGCATCATATTTCGTGACTTACTGTATATATTTAGAAGCAACCTATTTTGGTTGTCAGGTGGCTGCTACTTACAGTATATCCCCTCTACCTTTGTCTTCTTTTGTCTCTCTCTCTCTCTCTTTTCTATTAAGCATTAATTCGGCATCCCGCAGTAGAGGCGGGTAAAGGTAACACCAGTATCAGGCTGATGAGAATGCATGCTGGTTGAGCATCAGCTATGAGACTAGAAAGGCACTATAGCACTGAAAAGAGATACTAATGCATGAACCTCCTCAGGCCAAAAAGCTTTACATCTGACTTGGCCTGCTCCATATATCATGGAGAATCATGTTACCAGCAAATGCAAATTCCATCCCACTGCTTTCAGTAGGGCTTAGCTAGAACATCTGCTGTTTAAAGGAATAGTTCACCCAAAAATAAATGCTGTTGGTTGATTGCCTGAATGGCTGTATGCTGTTATTTTTTCTGTGAAACACAAAAGGAGAATTTTTGTTTATCTTAATGCAGCTCTTACAGTACAGTCTACAAGTCGGCTCCAAAAATGACAAAAAAGCATCATTACAGTGATTCACATGGCTTGTGCAATATATTTCAAGTCTTTTGAAGCCACATGTTACTTTATATAAAGATCAGAATGAATTTAAAGTCGTTATTCACTCAGAATTGTTCCACATAGTGAATTCGAGAACTGAATAAATTGCAAAATAATAAATTGAATAAACTGAATAAATCAGTGAATAAATTGCTCTTCTCAATTCGTTCTTTTGAGTGATGACTAAGTTCCCAAATTGGACTAAGCTGAATTGATTCATTCAAATGATTCATGAATTGAACTGAATCACCTCTTTGACTCAGTTTCATCGTTAAAAACAACTTGAGATCATTGAAGACTCTTGAACTACCATGAGAACTTCTCTGTACAAATGTCTGAACTTTAATGCCATGCAACTTGTTGAATTATTCACTCATAATCTTTCCACCCAGTGAACTCTAGTGAAAAATCATCATTTGTAAGTCGCTTTGGATAAAAGTGTCTGCTAAATTATTAAATGTAAATGTAATTCAAGAACTGCTACTATTCAAGAGTCACTGAGTCAGTGAGTTTAATTCGAGAACCGAATCAATGAGTGAATCATTCCTCTGAGTCGGTTCTTTTAAATGCTGTCTAAGTTCACAAATTGGACTAAATTATTTGTTTATGAATTGAAATTATTCATGAATTGAACTGAATCGTAACATTTACTCAGTCGCAGTTAACTCACTGCAGGAGAAGATTATCAGTGAACAATGACTTAAATTTTGGTCCATTCATCACAGTAATGCTATCGTATCACAAACTGTTGCACATGAGTCATATGGCTTTCCTTTATTGCCCTTTTTGACAGTTTTGGAGGTTAACAACTGATTATTGTGTGAAAATGTTCATAATATGAAATTATTTTCAATTCCAAGTCGTACGGGTTTGGTGAGTAAATATCAGAAGTTTAATTTTGGGGTGAACTATCCTTTTAACTAGTGTAGACAAGGACATTAGATGTTTTTGAGTGTAGAGTGATGTTCAAACATATGATAAGACAGACCCAGATCTCTCTGCCTTGACCCCAGTGTCCTCTCAGAAACACACAGTAACTAGCTCTCATTGCACCAGTGAACTGCATGTTCCTGCATGCTGTTAACTCAGATCTGCATTTCTCTCTTTCACTGCCTTGTTTTCTCTCTTTCTAATGTTTTGTGTTTCATGTTGTGTTTCACTATTCTCTGTATTCTTCCAGGCTCAGCCCCCCCTTTACCACCACCAACCCCCCCTGTCACTCAATCTTTGCAGTCCCCGTTTCACAAGGGTACAAACACTCCTGCCCCGGCACCTTTTCTCTCTTTCCTTCATTGTTATGCTTGTGTGATACTGTATTGATCAGGAATCTGTAGATGTTATACCTTTTAAAATCTCACAAGAAGTCACAATCATTATTTGAGCTTTACATGATTTACAGTATAGTACAAAGTGAGTGATGACAGTTACATATACAGTACAGTTCAAAAGTTTGGGGTCAGTAATTTTTTAAAGAGAAATTAATACTTTAATTCAGCAAGGATGCATTAAATTGATAATAAATGACAGTAAAGAAATGTATAATATTACTAAATATAATTTTATTTAAAAAAATGCTGTTTTTTTAAACTTCATATTCATCAAAGAATCCAGAAAAATAAATGCAGCCTTGGTGAATATAAGTGAATTCCTTCATAAATATCAAAAAAATTGACCCCAAAACTTTCAATCGTAATCTACTGTAAGTAATTAAAAAAAAACATCTCTAGTGATCCTAAAAAGACACTTAAAATCTGTGAATTTCTTTAGATTAGATATAAAATATCAAATCAAGTTGCATTTGCAAACAAATTATGCTGGCGCTTTTATTGGAAGCAACTTCGGTAACACTTAAAGCCTTTATGTATAATGCATTATAAAAGTAGTTTTAATGCATTAATGATGCATTGTACAATCTCATGAATAATTGTAACCACAGTTAATACATTATAACACTTGTCAGTTGTTACAATATGCATTTTAAATTCAGTTATAATGATTTAGAACAAGATATAATGTATTACAATGCATATTATGCATAATTATAATGCATTATTCCCTTTAATAACCCTTTATAATGCATTATACATATAGGCTTTAAGTAAAGTGCAACTTAATAACATATAAACATATAAAGGTGATTTTGGGGCCACTAGACTCCTTTTCATAATCTCTAAATTCTTCTGTCACTTGTATTTTTCCTTGTTTGATCAGCGCCTCCTGCTGGTCGGATGTTTGGGAGCGTGAACTCCTCGGTGGAGGAGGACCATGCTGTGATAAGCTGGGAATACTCGGGGCCGGATAGGAATGTTTATGTGGAATATGTTGTTGATAACAGTAAGATTGTCCTCCTTAAAATTTTAAAATTTCACTGCCATGCGTTTATTTAAAATCATAGTTTAATATCATAAAGCTCATAGACCAAGCTATTTAATATTATAGAATTTGTGTAATATATATATATTTTTTTATATACAAATTATACTATAATAATCAATAAAATCAACCTTTTTGCTATGTAATTAGTTTTGCCATAATCTCCCCTGCCGTCGGCCCTTCTCTCCAGGTAAAGAACCCTGGAAAACAGAGTTTGTAAATGGCACTCGGACATATCAGATTAAAGGACTAAAGCCGGGGATGTCCTATAGGGTTCGGGTGGTAGCCAAAGACCACTCAGACGCTACGGTCCACAGTACAGAGGAGCTGTTGATTACAGTTCCAGGTGAGGAGACCATGTCTGTAGACCACCAGCATCAACCTCACCTGTCACTCACCCATGAAGCCCCGCCCAGACTCAGTTCCAGACATTACCTGTAGTTTTAGTTTGGAATATTAGCAAGTTACGCTTGAGTCCAGATGGGTTTATGGAAATGTAGATGCATGCCAGAATTACGTTTGTCCATCTTTTCTTCCTTCCTTTTTTCTTTGCCATCCTACAGTGGTTGTCTTATTAAATTAAATACACTTCCTCAAATCCATGTTTCTTGTTACCGTCATAAAAACAAAGATTTGAGGTTTTTGTTACCTTGATGTTCAGCTCATGTTCATTTTTACTTTACTGTAGATGCCAATATTTTGTGTTGTTGTTGTTTTGTGTGACACCTGCACGATAAATTAACCATAACATTTAAAATGAAAGAAAAGTGAGGATTGGTTCATTTTGTCCTCTCTTTTTTCTGCAGCTATGACTAGCAAGCAGGTTGACATAGCCACGCAGGGCTGGTTTATCGGGCTGATGTGTGCCATTGCTTTGCTGATCCTGGTGCTCCTCATCGTTTGCTTTATAAAGAGGAACAAAGGAGGCAAATATCCAGGTAAGTGAATGTACAACATTGATGTGTGAAACTGGAAGTTAAGTACATCTGTGTGGTGCTAATGCTGAATCTCAAATCTTTTAAACGATGCACAGGCCACATAAAAAAAATCTGTAACATAAAATAAGAAATATTTAAGATTCTGCATACACATGTGAACCCTGTGAACTTCAATACCATGCAACTTGTTGATTTTCCAATCTCAAAGTAAAAGAAAAAGAAGATGCCCATCAAGACCCAGAAATCCAGCCCATGAAAGAAGATGATGGGACATTTGGGGAGTACAGGTGAGGAAAACAACTTATAGGAGTTAATCTACACCTATTTATATCACTTTGATAAGAAAAATGTTAAAGTGTTAAAGTGATGTTGTTGTTGTTTCACGACTGATTGAAAGCAAACTTACTTCTCTTGCTCAGGAATTCAGACCATAATTTTTTCATTCCTCTGAGATGAATGTAAACATCTTTGGCCTCACCACAAAACAGCTTAAAGAAAGCAGGAGCAAACCTGTGTATTTATATGACTGAAAAATACTTCACACATTTTTTACATTTTCATTAATTTACCACATTTCGAGTGTCAAATCAATTGCCTTCCTCATTTACGTTAATGATGGATTTATTGCTGTGATTTGTTATTTTGTTTTGTGTCATCATTAATCTTTATTGTAATATTTATTATCATATTTTTTTTAATTTATGTTTTATATTTGTGTGTATTTTTTTAAACATGTTTGGTCATATTGTCATTATTATTGCTGAAGCAATGGAGTAAATATTATTGGAACTGGATGGTTTCAACTCACGATAGCTAATTCAGGACATAAATTCAGTATAGAAATATTATATATTAAATATTAATTAAATTATATATAATGTACCTTGGAATATTTGAAATCTTTCAAATTCAATTTCAGCTTCTGAAAGTTGCTGAAGCAATGGAGTAAATATTATTGGAACTGGATGGTTTCAACTCACGATAGCTAATTCAGGACATAAATTCAGTATAGAAATATTATATATTAAATATATAATATATATATATTCAATTTCAGCTTCTGAAAGTGCCAAATCAGAATCACAATTGACAGCAGCCATCAGCCATGTTTGTTTTGTTGTCTTGTATTAACATTTCACATGTCCTGTTCATGAAGTCCATCATTTGTTGTGTAGTATGTCTCTGCATACATTTTTTTCTTTACTGTAAAGTGATAACCTCATTGTCAACCATGTCAGTCTGTCTTATTTGTTCCTCCTGTGTGTTTTAATTTTGGGGGGATTCAGATCTACAGAAAGGTAAGAGGGGCGTTGCAAGTCTTGCATGCATAAAATCCTCCATTATTCATCTTCTAGTTACAGTAGAAAATCAAACAGATGGCTGTAAATTTTACGGTCAACCCAAACCCAACCTTGACTAAACTTTTATATCCGAAAAAAAAGAAAGAATTTTGCATAGTTATTTGTATTTTTGGATTGCATATTGTGATTTGACTTTGTTTTATTTATATTTTACTGCATTTGTTTAGAAATCCTCAATGGTTATTTTATGGTTTTTCCAGTTTTGAGAGAAGTGGTTTATGCATTATGATGAATGTGGCCAAATTTACCCTTCCGAATGCACGTCATGACCAGTTATGAACATGCCTTCCGGATATAAGAGAGACGCATTGTGAAAATACCTGCACTAAACAGCATGTTGGAAATGGACGATCTCCACTATCTCGTTTAGATGGTTTAAATTGTGCTATTGTAATATCCTCCCCTCCCCTTGTCTCTACTCTTTACATCAGTGACACGGAGGATCACAAGCCCTTGAAAGGCAGCCGTACCCCATCCAATGGGACGGTCAAGAAGGACGACAGTGACGACAGCCTGGTGGATTACGGTGAGGGAGGAGACGGACAGTTCAACGAGGATGGCTCATTCATCGGCCAGTACAGTGGGAAGAAGGAAAAAGACACGGCGGAGGGCAACGAGAGTTCGGAGGCTCCTTCTCCGGTCAACGCCATGAACTCCTTTGTGTAACTGACCTTTGACCCATCCAACACCCCACCTCCTTGTCACACCATCATATGGAGAACAGTCTCTATTGCACTGTGACCCCCTAACATCACAGCAAAAGAAATAAAACAAACGCCCCTAATGAAAGACAGTGAGAATGCGAGATGAGGGCCAGTCCAAGCTTCACCGCGATTGGTCGGAATGAGAGTCACGTGACATTGAGACATATTAAGTGTATTATCTCACAGCGAGCATACATATATATTGATATATGTGTATAGGAATATATAAATTGACATATATTTTATTAACATGGCCCCGTTTACGTCAGATGGCATTGTATCACACCATCTTGTCCCTTGGACTCGCATGGAATCAGTAATTGACGTCACACCCTCAGCATTAAGGTGCAGTCACATTTACAGTTATTTGGCAAATTTTCACAAGCAATCGGAGGAATCGGTGCGATTTTCCATTAGTAAACAGGTTCAAGTTTTCACGGATTCAAAGTGACTTCTGTGTGAACAGTGCCTCATTCATGGCTACACTATTGACAATATACAATGGACTTTTTTTCGCGCGAAACTTCGCTAATGTGACCGCACCTTTAGCCAGCGTTGTGGAGACCGTGAACCTCGTCTGACTATATGATACTCACTTTTGCTTCACAGCTAATGCCTGTTGCGTTCTGTCGTCAGTGTTCAAATCGGTATTATGCACATTTCAGGCACCAATGTCTTTGTGGGCATTGTTGTGAAGTATGTAATACGTGTAAAAGCTGTTCTTAGGCATCAGAAGTTTTGAATATACAAAAGAAAAATCCACAGAATTTAAAAACTGGTTATCAGGGATGTGAGGTAGCATGTTTTTAACACACAAGCACTCTACACAGACGTGGTTTTATCCTTTTCTCAGTTCTCTTGTTGTTCATTTTGCGCCCTGTGTTTATTCTATTTACTTTACGACAACATTTTTCAATGTTTTATCCCTGAAGAAAAGTCATCGATAGACTAGTTAAGGTTCACTTCATCCAGAACTGTTATTGTGAAGGAAAGCCCCCCAGTCAGCCATGTAGCCATCCGTGACCCCACTTTGGCCACCAGAATTCACGCTGCTCTTGGTTGGTTTTACAGTATGGGATGCATCGAAGGCCCCTCAGCACGGTTCCTTAGTGCCTTGGTAGAAAACATTACAGGTGCATCTCAATAAATTAGAATGTCATGGAAAAGTTCATTTATTTCAGTAATTCAACTCAAATTGTGAAACTCGTGTATTAAATAAATTCAATGCACACAGACTGAAGTAGTTTAAGTCTTTGGTTCTTTTAATTGTGATGATTTTGGCTCACATTTAACAAAAACCCACCAATTCACTATCTCAACAAATTAGAATACTTCATAAGACCAATAAAAAAAACATTTTTAGTGAATTGTTGGCCTTCTGGAAAGTATGTTCATTTACTGTACATGTACTCAATACTTGGTAGGGGCTCCTTTTGCTTTAATTACTGCCTCAATTCGGCGTGGCATGGAGGTGATCAGTTTGTGGCACTGCTGAGGTGGTATGGAAGCCCAGGTTT